TATCTCATTTTAAATAAGTAGTTTTGAACAAGCAGCAATTTTTTTTAAAAATATTATAACTTACGCTGTATAAAATGCCAACATTAGATGAAATTAAATACATGAGCAGTGCTTGAGCATCACTTTGGGGTTTGTCGGTCACAGTGACTTCCTGGCTGTTTTTTGTCAAAAGGTGCAGGTGGTACAAAATTTGATGGAGTAATTCTCTGTGCAGGAAAGCTCCTGGGATCCGTGGTGATGATTCATAAAATGTAAGGTAATAGTTGCCATCTCTAGAGATCTTCTGAAGCGACACAATCAGTCTGTGCAAGAAATGGAACATTATTTACAGCATTACTGCCCTCGGGACAGTCTTTTTCTGATCAAATCACACAACGATGTAATGCATTTCATATTGTATTGTGGAAGTACCAATTATTTATTTATTTATTTTAGTTTTGATATTTGCAAGTGGACCGAGACCTGCTTTTTCTGTCATGTCGGTCTGCTTGTTTGTTGATTACCAGTGTTCAGATGGCAGTGTGTACACTTCTTCATATAACTGCATATTAACAATTCTATCAGACCAGAGCAATTCCAGCGTTATGGATGTGACATTTTCAATAAAATTTTAAGAATGTACATTCACCAGCTACTTCATTAGGTACACCTTACTAGTACCAGGTTGGACCCTCTTTTGCTTTCAGAACTGCCTTAATCCTTTATGGCAGAGATTCAACAAGGTACTGGAAATATTCCTCAGAGATTTTTGTCTGTATTGACATTATAGCATCACGCAGTTGCTGCAGATTTGTCGGCTGCACATCTATGAGTCTCCCATTCCACCATATCCCAAAGGTGCTCTATTGGATTGAGATCTGGTAACTATGGAGGCCATTTGAGTACAGTGAACTCATTGTCATGTTCCAGAAACCAGTCTGAGATGATTCATGGTTTATGACATGGTGCGTTATCCTGCCGGAAGTAGCCATCAGAAGATGGCACCAACAGCCATGCCACATGCTCACTTTGAACTGCAGCAGATGTGATTGGCTGATTAGAAATTTGCATTAACGAGCAGTTGTATCTAGTAAAGTGGCCGGTAAATGTAAACATTAACAGTACATTGAAACTTCTTACATTTTCTAAAACAAATAACCACAGAGTTAAGTCAGAAAATATACATCTGTAAATGTGTTTTATATTTGAAATGAGGGAAATAAACGTGTTACGGTTGTGGGCAAAAAAGTATAAAAAAAATTTACAGCATAACTTGCAGAAAGTCTGTGAATTAAATTGCACTTATTAAATTGCACTTTATTTACTTATTTTATTTTTATAAGGAAAAAGTTTTGCTACGGATATGACAGATGTGAAAATGTTGACATTTTGAGTGTGTCAAGTTCAAGCCTATAAAAACAACCTTAGAAGGGTTTCGCCAATTTTTATTTTATTTTTTTCATGTCAAGTTTGACATGGTCAGGTCTGCAGATTTTGTCTGGCCCTAGTTTTGCCAAGAGCAAGTAGTTTTTACTTTCTGTAGAATCTGTAAAAAAAGCATAACCAAACAGCACACAATAGACGGTTAAAAAACAGTGATTTTAATTGTTCTTTTATTTTATATAACTGCTTTGCAAACATTATATTAGTTTTAGATACATATATGTCATCCTTACATTCATTGTAAATGATCCTCCTGTTTTATTTCCAATGTGAGAATTATTGTCATCAGGGGAGCGATTATAGAGTTTGTGCAGAAGTAACTGCTATAAGAAATCATTTGTACCTCTATCTGTTGTTATTTTAAATTGCCAACCTCCTTTTATTGCACTTTTTAAAGGTCACTGCTGTTTTTGTTATTAATGTTACTTATGTTACTTGTTGTCTATTGTCTAAAAGTTTTTGCAGCTCAAGTACAAGACACATTTCCTGCAATCTCTCTCGCACTGCTTTTTATGTGATATTATGTGTATACAACAGCTCGATGGCATAATCGTGAATATAACTATTCAAATTAAACACAGAGAGTCTCAAAACGCATTTGAGAAAAAGAGCTACTTTCTTCCACCACACATTTACATTTGTAGCTTAACATCTGAACAGCAAAACGCATTGCTAATTCAAAATCTTCACTTTAAAACTGGTATTTGAATTACTCTCTTATTTAATAGATCCTGAAAGGGTCTACTATTAATAAAATCCACATAAAGGCAGAAGTAAAGATGCCACCATACATCATATTGTTCTCTATATGTCTTAGCATTGCAGCTTACAGTATGTCAGCTGCTATAGAGTCACCTTTCTCTTTGGAAAACCTATCTTTCTGCCTCTACTACTTTTAAATATTGTAAGCTTGTCTGGATGTTTTAGTATGCATCTTTAAAGCAGCAAGCATGGGGGTTACACTATAAAATAACAACATTTTTGCTAGGTTTTTAAGGTGTTAGACTTTACCTGCAGAATTAAGTATTTGAATATGGATTAAAGATTATATAAGCAGCAGATTACCATAGAAAAGAGTGCTAAACTTCAGATAATGTTGTTGCTGCAGTCTCTTTTCTTGCTTACCATAACAAATAATGTATCACACTTTCTCATACATTTTTAAAATTAAATATTATATGTTTAAATCATAAAATAGCATGATATGTTTCATTGCCTCTTTTTATTCTTTTAAAGACATCATTTGTGTAACCTTAGTGTTAACCTAATAACATAGTATTGCAAATATATCATTTAGGTCCATAAATATTTCGACATTGACACAATTCTAAAATTTTTAGCTCTATACACCAAATCAAAAGATTTGAAATTAAACCAACAAGATTTAACTGCAGACTGTCAGCTTTAATTCAGGGGTATTTACATCCAAATCAGGTTAATTCTGTAGGAATTACAACATTTTGCATATGTGCCTCCCACTTGTTAAGGGTCCAAAAGTAGTTGGACAGAATAATAATCATAAATCAAACTTTCACTTTTTAAAACTTGGTTGCAAATCCTTTGCAGTCATTTACAGCCTGACGTCTGGAGCACATAGACATCACCAGACATGGGGTTTTATCCCTGGTGGTGCTCTGTCAGGCCTGTACTGCAACTGTCTTCAGTTCCTGCTTGCTCTTGGGGAATTTTCTCTTCAGTTTTGTCTTCAGCAAGTAAAATACATGCTTAATCAGATTCAGATCAGGTGATTGACTTGGACATTGCATAACATTCCACTTTCCCTACAAAAACTGCTTTTGCAGGATGCTTTGGGTCATTCTGCATCTGCACTGGATTTGGCTTAATATGAGCAGAAAATAGTACTTCAGAACTCATCCTGCTGCTTTTGTCAGCAGTTACATCAATAAATACAGGAGAACCAGTTCCATTGACAGCCATACAAGCCCACGCCATGACACTACTACCACCATCCTTCACTGCTTCGGATCATGAGCAGTTCCTTTCCTTCTCCATACTCTTCTCTTCCCATCTCTCTGGTACAAGCTGATCTTGATCTCATCTTCATCTTGCTCTAATCTGGCCTTCCTGTTTCTGAGGCTCACCTATGGTTTACATCTTGTGGTGAACCCTTTGTATTCCCTCTGGTGAAGTCTTCTTTTGATTGTTGACTTTGACACACAGACTCCTACCTACTGGAGAGTGTTCTTGAACTGGCCAACTGTGGTAAAGGGTGTTTTCTTCACCAGGGAAAGAAGTCTTCGGTCATTCACCACAGTTGTTTCTATGGTCTTTCGGGTCTTTTGGTTTTGCTGAGCCCACTGGTGCATTCTTTCTTTTTAAGAATGTTCCAAACAGTTGTTTTGGCCATGCCTAATGTTCTTTTTTTTCTCTCTGATGGGTTTGTTTTGTTTTTTAGCCTAATGATGGCTTGTTTGACTGATGGTGACAGCTCTTTGGATCTTATCTTGAGAGTTGACAGTAACAGATGCGAATAGCACACTTGAAATTAACTCTGGGGAATAAGGAAATAACACACACCTGGCTATGAAATAGCTTAGGAGCCAATAGTCCAATTACTTTTGGACCCTAAATAAGTGGGAGGCACATGTAAACTGTTGTAATTCCTACACCGTTCACCTGATTTGGATGTAAATTATCTCAAATTAAAGCTGACAGTTTGCAGTTAAAGCACACGGTTGCATTTTAAATCCATTGTGTTGGTGTATAGAACCAAAAATGTTAGAATGTGTCACTGTCACATATTTATGAACCTAACTATATATAGCGCAAGTGAAATTTTTTGCTTGTATGTTGATTATATCATTTATTGGATTCTCAAAGTTTCTTTTATGTAGTTATTTTTTTGGATTTCCACATTTTCATCTACAGTAAATGGGCTTCTTGGAAAAGTCACCTATATACTTTAATTGATTAATTTTGTCTTTCTTGCATGAACATAATAATTTAATCACATGCTGACTGCCATAAACTAGAACTTAGGCCAAAAATAATTTGAAGAAAATGTATCTGTTCTTAGATTCTCAAAATGCATCGCTATTCTCTATCTAATCAATCCTTAACTGACTTTTTAAGAGAAGAGGGTGCTCTGGGCTAGCTTTTAACTGTACACTCAACTGCTCATAAGTAGGTCCACATGAAATCTGCATGCACAGATTTTTAACTCATCATTGATTTTATTTATACTCTTGTGTAAATGTATATTTATTCAGCTTTTTAAATTAATTTTAGTACTTTACAGCTTGTAAAGTGATCATTTCATTTTTTTAGTAGATGTATGGTATATAAATTATATGAACGACTTGCTTCGTTTAAGAAATAAGTGGAAAAAAAAATTAGGCTCAGAATCGATTTAAGCGAGAATATCGAATGGGAATATCGAATTTTAATTCCACCACATCCTTAAACATAAACCAATGTACAACTGTAATACCGTTCTGCTGCTGCCTCTTTTGTTTACTTTACTATCATTTTCATTATCAACAAAACGTACACATCTACCGTAGCTTAAAGCCTTTTGTATTTTGTTTAAGTCCTTTTTCATTCTCATTGTTTGTCAGCAGGGTGTGAGCTCTCGGAGACGCTGAGGAATCTGATCCTGAAACTTTACTCCGATCACCTCTCTGAAAATGGCAAGGTAACTCACTGCGTCAATCTCTCATCACATACTGCATATCAAATACATATATAAGACCATTGTGAAAGGATTTGCCACAGACAGAAGTTTACATGCATTCAGACGTTTGATGTTTGTGAAGGATCTAAAAAGTAACAATCTGGTTTTTTGAAAAACAGCTCCATTTACAACTCCCCTAGAGTTGAGTTTTATCATTTTTTAATCCATTTAGCCGCTCTACATGTCTGGCGGGAGCACTATAGCTTAGCTTAACATAAATACTTAAACCAGATTAGACCATTAGCATCTCACTTGTTACATCTCACTCATTGTGTACTAAGACCAATAATAATAAAATAGTAATTATATAAATTATTTTAAAAATTTTTGAGCAAGATGCTAATGGTCTAATTTGATTCAATGATTTATGCTAAGCTAACAGTGCTCCCAGCAGATCCAGAGATTGCCTGAAAAATTGAAAAACTCATCAATTTAACCCTAGGTGACTTGTAAAATGAGAAAATTTCCAAACAAAGTGGAGTGTTACTTAAGGAACGTTCTGCCAATGCTTCAGACAAGAAAGATGTGTGTGTGTGTGTGTGTGTGTGTTTTGTGACTTGTTTTTTTGACCAGACAGTTGATTACAAGGCAATGTCCCGGAGCCTGTACTTCGAGCGCTACTGTGATCTGGCTGTCAGACTTCAGCGTGTGGAGCTGCTCTCTATGAGTCGAGAAGAAAAACTGGCCTTCTTTATCAACATCTACAACGCACTTGTCATCCACGGGAACCTGCGTCTGGGCTTTCCCAAAAACATATGGCAAAGGTATCGGGTAAGAGAAGTGGATTTTTAGGACAGAAAGTGAAAGAAATAAATGGTTTCAGTGCTCGTACATTTGGTCTCTTGTTTTCCAGTTTTTTAACTACGTGAGCTACTTCATTGGCGGTGAGGTGTTCACACTGCAGGATATTGAGAATGGAGTACTTCGAGGAAATCGAAAAGGTGTGGGACAATTCCTGAAACCCTTCTCCAGGGATGACCCACGACTGCAGGTATACTAGATAATTTATGGTTTGGTTTACTCAAAAAATTACTTGTTCAAACTATGTCTTTAAAATAAATTGAAACAACAAAATCCTTAAGTTTTTGTGGGACAACTTAATTGTTTTATGTTCAATCCACTTAAATTTGTTAACTAAATCAGTTTGTGATGGGACAACATGAAGGAATTTTGTGGAACTCAGCATTTTTAACAGTGGTTGCACTTCAGGTTTAAGGCCAGCAATATACAGTACATCCGGAAACTTTTTCCACATTATTTTATGTTACAGCCTAATTGCAAAATGGAATAAATTCATTTATTTCCTCAAAATTCTAAACACATTACCCTATAATGAAAATGTGGAAAAAAAGCGTTTTTGAAATTGTAGCAAATTTATTAAAAATAAAAAACCTGAAAAATCACATGGACATAAATATTCACAACCTTTGTTTAAAACTTTGTTGATGCACCTTTGGCAGCAATTACAGCATCAAGTCTTTTTGAATAAGATGCCACAAGCTTGGCACACCTGTCTTTGGGAAATTTTGCCCATTCCTTTTTGCAGTACCTCTCAAACTCTATCAGGTTGGATGGTAAGCGACAGTGTTACAGCCATTTTCAGGTCTCTCCAGAGATGTTCAATATGATTTAGTTCTGGGTTCTGGCTGGCCCACTCAAGGACATTCACCGAGTTGTTGCGAAGCCACTCTATTGATATTTTGGTGGTGTGCTTTGGGTCATTGTCCTGCTGGAAGATGAACTGTTGCCTTAGGGCCTACTCACACTATGCTATCCGAACCGTGTCCAGGCCCATTTCCCGGATTGTTTGAGAAGTGTAAGTGCGCTGAATCAGGCTCAGGCACGGTCCATTTTTCCGGTCCTGGCCCGGTTGGAAGAGGTGTGCCTGAGCGCGGTTCACTTGGGCTTTGGCGCGGTACACTTGTGTGTGAGTGTAAGCCCGAAACTGAAAGCGAGACGTGACTGTTTCATATGGATTTATTAGTCATTCTTACTGTTCAATGAATGCAAACTGTCGTAGATTATTAAAGCTGCAAACCCACCACTGCACGAAAGCTGCGCACCTTCAGCAAACCTCCTAATTTCTGCAGCACGAGGACTTTTTTATGATTGTTTATGAGCGTCAAAAGGGGATGATCTGTTCAGCGAAATATTTGACTGCGTTTCACTGCAAGTCAGACGACATAACTAAAGAAATCAATTCTGTGCTGAGCGATAGCTCTTCTGAACAGAGCATCATCGACGACGTAAGCTTGCCCAGGCCCTAATGTATTATGAGTGCGGGCCGTCGGGTGAGACGGGAGGGGGGACAAGCGTGCTTTGGCCCAGTTCAAGGCAACTGTACATAATCTGAGTACGCCCTTAGTCTGTGGTCAAGAGCACTCTGAAGCAGGTTTTCATTTAGGATCGCTCTGTATATTGCTGCATTCATCTTTCCCTCTATCCTGACTAGTCTTCCAGTTCCTGCTGCTAGCAAACATCCCCACAGCATGATGTTGCCACTACCATGCTTCACTGATGAGTGGTGCCTGGTTTTCTCAAAACGTAACGTCTTGCATTTACTACAAAGAGTTTAACTGTAGTCTCATCAGACCAGAGAATTTTGTTTCTTATTGTCTGAAAGTCCTTCAGATGCTCTTTGGCAAATTCCAGGTCGGGAGTGGCTTCCGTCAGGCCACTCTGCCAGACAGGCCTGATTGGTGAATTGCTGCACACATGGTTGTCTATCTGTAAGGTTCTCCTCTCTCCACAGAAGAACTGTGAAGCTCAGACAGAGTGACCATCAGGTGGCCAGCCAGCTCTTGGAAAATTCCTGGTGGTTCCAAACATCTTCCACTTACGGATGATGGAAGCCACTGTGCTCATTGGGACTTTCATGGCAGCAGAAATTTTTCTGTAACCTTCCCCAGCCTTGTACCTCAAGACAATCCTGTCTCGGAGGTCTACAGATAATTCCTTTGTCTTCATGCTTGGTTTGTGCTTTGACATGCACTGTCAACCCTGGGACCTTGTATAGACAGGTGTATGCCTTTTCAAATTATGTCCAATCAACTGAATTTACCACAGGTGAAGTCCAATTAAGCTGCTGAAACATTTCAAGAATAATCAATGGAAACAGATTCTACCTGAGCTCAATTTAGCGCTTCACGGCAAAGGCTGTGAATACTTCTGTACATGTGATTTTTAAAAAAAATTTTTTTTTATAAATATTCAACTATTTTAAAAAATCTTTTTTTTTTTCACATTGTCATTATGCAGGATTGTGTGTAGAATTTTGAGGACATTAATGAATTTAATCCATTTTGGAATAAGACTGTAACAAAAAATGTGGGAAAAAGTGCAATGAGTACTTGCCACTTGCGCTGTAGTTAAAGTAGAATTAACATGAAAATTCACTCAAAAAATGTAGATTCTGACATTCGTTTACTCCCTATTTGAGTTTCTTTCCTCTGTGGAACACAAAAATGATATATTGAAAAATGTTGATAATCTTTTTGTCCTATTATGGAAGTTGATGGATGTCATGCACCAACATTATTCAGAATATCATCTTTTATGTTTTAAAAAGTGAAAAAAACAACACATGAGGGAGAGTAAATGATAAGGTTGTTTTCATTTTTGGTTAATCTGTCACTTTAAAGATTTCAAAATAAATCATGAGGCATTAAATCTGCAGTTGTACTTTGCTTTAGGTATATAGTAAAGCATAATAAATGCACCATATAAATGCACATTACATTTAGGGAAATCACTGTTGCTATCATTGCAACAAACTATATGGCTGTTTCTCAATTAGAAATCAGAGAACGTACTTGCATTCTTGTCAGGCTATCTTGAAAAAAACTAATTTGGAGGGATGCAATAATGCAAATGCTTGTCCCGGCGAGTCAGACCATGGTGTGTGTTTTTGTGAGTCTGCATCTTTGCCTGTTCGTCAGAAATAAAAAAAAAGTTTAAAACAAGCTTACCTTCATCCACTAGGTGGCGCTTCCTGACGTCGAGCCTCTTATTCATTTTGCACTGAATTGTGGTGCCAAGGGCTGCCCACCGATTAAAACATACACTCCGCAGGTAAACCAAACCTTAATCATTTACAAGACAGTCAAAAAAGAAATGCTGTATGCCCATGTAAAGCATATTGTGTCAATATAGTCAAACTTTGATGTGTGTCTGCCATCAGGACATTGATGGTCAGTTGCGCACTGCAGCTGAAGCTTTTCTGGAGAATGATGACAGCTGTGTGATTGACAACACAGGACGAGAAGTGAAGCTCAGCCAGATCTTTAAGTGGTACAAGGGCGACTTTGGAGGCACTGATGATAAGGTATCGTAAATGTATATCATCACTGTCAAAGCAAGTGCTCATGGAAGATAATGTTGTTGTTACATTTAAACCCAATTTACAGTAGCCAAGAGAACAAGCACAAGCATGTAGAAAAATACTGAAAAAACAAATTTAAATAATATGACAACACACACAAAGAACGCCCGCAAATATTCACAACACATGAAAACACACTGCAAATATCACAGATCACAATGGAAGTTCGCAGAGATGTAGCCATGCATTTATACTTTTGTGTTCTGTTTGTGTTGCACTGACATTAACACTTCTGAAATGCTAGCAGGCAGTTGGGTTTCTGTGTTTCTCTTTGTTATTGCTACAGTCATATCACCCTGCAGCCCAAGACTGGCAACTCACTGAAGCTAAGTAGGGCTGAACCTGGTCAGTACCTGGGTGGAAGACCACAAAGGAAAATAGGTTGCTGTTGGAAGTGGTGTTAGTGAGGTCATCAGGGAGCACTCAAAATGTGCCCCTGTATAGTAAAGGGGACAGTATACTGTCAGTGTGCACTGTCTTTCAGATGAGAGTTAAACTGAGGTGCTGACTCAATGTGGTCATTAAAAATCCCATGGCACTTCTCGTAAAGAGTGGCGTGTAACCCTGGTGTTCTGGCCAGTTTACCTACATCAGCCATTACATTACATGGCCTCCCAATCATCCCGTCCACTGAATTGGGTGTATAACTATCTCTCCACTCCACCAATTGCTGGTGTGTGGTGAGCGCACTGGCACTGTTGTCCTTTGGCTGCCATTGCATCATCCAAGTGGATGCTGCACACTGGTGGTGATTTGGAGAGATGCCCCTCATGATTGTGAAGCGCTTTGGGTGTATAGCCACATACCAAAAATGAGCTATATAAATTCACATTACTTACTTGTTGTGTGAAGTTTCTTTGCTGGTAATTTGAGTTACTGTATTACTGTATAAATAGCTCAAACCTTTACTTGTTCAATGAAGAAAAAGGAGAAGGTTAGGATTAGGGTTAGAACTGGCGAATGTGCAGCAACTTAAATCATAAAGTAAACACAAAACCAAAGTATCCATATGGAGCTCCTCTGCAGGCCTCGACATTTTTTAAACACTTGCGCCGTTGGATAAGCTACGTTACCACAGTTCTCGGCCCTGCCCACACTTGTCACAGCTACCAAGCCGTCCAATTGCAGCTCTTGTGCTACATGTCGCAAAATGTGTAGTTATATTTTATGTGATATGGCTAATGGTAACTGAGCTAAACTGGACATACCGTGCACAGTCTGCACTCTCAATTTTTACTATAATGTCATTACGAAAAACATAAATCTGCAGTATTTTAGATATGAGAGGTGACGCCCCATTCACAGGGGACGTCAGCATCAACGATTCCCATTCACTTTGAATGGGTGACGTCAGGCGTTGCCGAACTGCATTGTGGATCCGTCGGCGCTGCTCGAGGGGCGTTGCTCGCTGCAGAAGTTGGGACTAGCTCAACTTTTCAAGCGCCGACGGAAGCGTCAGCCGATCAGAGCGCTGTTTGCAAATACACCAGCTACACAGTGGCCTATTGCTAACTGAATTTCATTGGCTGACACTGCTATGATGATCGCTTCAGCCCCAACTTCAGACACACACACAGACACACACACTTCAGTCAAGCGTTGACGCTGAAGCCCCGTGTTAATAGGGCGTGAGTTTTTTTGTTGATCTCTGACAATGCAGCTGACTCTACACAGGAAGCAGCCAGATTCTTTACTTTTTGGGTCCCCAACATATTTCTTTTGTGGTCTATGCTATTTGCAAGGCATTTCTCTATTTACATGTGTTGTGAGAATTTGCATGCACATTTGTTGTTAAATTGTGCATTTGAGCTCCCTCAGCCATAATACCATACTCATGCGTATGTTTTTTTTTTCATAATGACATGAGTTTCTAATAAAGTTCCAACTAAAGGCCGGTTTATTCTTCTGCATCGAGTGATCGATGTGATCCACAGTGCCTGCCTTGCGCTTAGTCGTGCATTTTTACTTCTCTGTGCTGTTTGTGTTGCTCTGCACTTCCGAATTGCTAGCAGGTTGTTATATTCCTCTGTGTCCAGTTTCTTCACGGGTGTTCTGTTTTTTTAACACTATCTTAATGTACAAGTAGCTCAAACTTGCTCATTCAGAGGCGGAAACAGGCAGACGTGCAACAACTTTAATCATTGTAGGTGAACACAAAACAAAAGCTTCCATCTGGAGCTCCTTTATGGGATTCAACATTCCAGCACTGCCCACACTCATCACAGCCACCAAGCCGACCAATCACAGAGCTTGCGCTACACATCATTGCGACGTTTAGTTACTTTTATTGAGAGGTGCGTGTCAGTCACAGTGAGGGTTATACGACTGCGGGAAGGCTATACCAGCCCATATTCATGGCTTGACGCAGAAGTATAAATCAGCCTTAAAGGCCTGGGGGGTATCTGGTACAAATAAAAGAGCGATACAGAATGAATTTAAAGTTGAAGTTAACCATTACAATGTTCCTACCACACCATTGCCACAGCTGCCATATGGCTCTGTAGCCCAAGTGTGGTTGCCCATTTATGCTAAGCAGGGTCGGGCATGCTCAGTACATTTACATTTGCATTTATTCATTTAGCGGATGCTTTTATCCAAAGGGACTTACAAATGAGGATAATTGAAGCACTTCAAATTACCAGAAAAGCAGCAATATGTAGATGTAGTAACAAGATTCAGTTAGTTTAGCACTGTGCATTAGCTTTTCCTTTTAAAACAAAGAAACAAACAGTAAAAGCAGATAGATCAAGAATAAGTAGGCTTGTTGTTGGACAATTAAGTGTTGATAAAACGGATGCCTCTTTAGCTGTTTATTAAAAATGGCCAGAGATTCAACGGCTCTGCATAGAGATGTCCACCAAAGTCCTTGAAAATGATTTTGTGCCCCTTTGAAACAGAGTCACGAAGTGATGTTCATTAGCAGAGCACAGTGTCCTGCCATACTCCTAAAATAGTGGATTCAGTTAGAGGGGTGTAATACTTAATTTATGATCAGAATGTAGCCAGTTAAATAGACCTAAATAGACCTGGTGCACGGCTTCTTGTATGTTGTGTGACCCACTTTAAATGTTGTCCTAATCAGGCAGTGGAGATCACAGATGTTGAACAAGTAAGATCTTAAAGCGAGTTTATAATGACATAACAGTTCACTGGAAATGTTCAGGCAGGCTAATCAACATTCACAGTAACCATACATATCAGTAATTGCATTTACATGTATTCATATATCCATTTGCAACTTACAAGTGAGGATACAAGAAGCAGAGTATAGAGGAGCAGTATATAAATGCTATAAAAGTCTAAATATTAGTTAATTTGATTTATTAGTTAAGAAAAAAAAGTTTTATTCATTTTAATAAACCTTTTAAATACATTTTTTAATCTTCCCTCCAAGCCAGGTGCCCAAACTTCTTAGTATGAAGGGCCAAAAACCAAATATCATTGACAGCCGTGGGCTGGAAGTAAATATACCAAACTATATTACATTAAAGCTGTCAAGGGTAATTTCCAAATTTTTCATAATATTTCAAAATAAATAGAAAACATTTTTTTAAATCATGTGAAGTAATGCATTGTAACTTTTTAAATGATAACTTATTGCAGTTAAATCACAGACAATCACATTTATAATACAGTGAATTTCAATGGTGATACTCTAGTCAAGCAGAATCTCCCTTTGACTTGATTGACTCACTAAAGTCTCTGCTTTGTCGGGTGACAGTATGTACATTAAAACAAAATCTTATTCATTTACACCAGTGGTTCTCAAACTATTTTCATCAAGTACCACCTGAGAAAAAAAATCCAGTCTCTCCAAGTACCACCAAAATGAGCAGTACTAAAATACAGTAGCGTAGTAGGCTCATTAAAGCAGCTACAACTCTGCACAGTTAAAAAACGTGGCAGATTACCTCAGAAATATAGACTATATGTCATATTATATACATAATTTTTAATAGGTTTTGAAATATATGTAGCACGTACATGACATATTTAATTCCTCCGCGTACCACTAATGGTACACGTACCACAGTTTGAGAACCACTGATTTACAACATTTAATTTCAGTTAGCTTTTAGCAATGAAACAAACAAAAGGTTACATTTCATTTGAATTGACAATCTTGAAACCATCCCCATCATTCTCCCTCTTTTCTTAGATGGGATGGCGATCAAAATCAAAGTTTAGCATGGGGCAACTTTTGCCCACGGGCCCTAGTTTGTGGATCTTTGCTGTAAGCATACTGAAAGGAGTGAGTGTGTCCTACAGGAGTTTGTAAAGCCAACTCACATTTGTGGCGCACACTCAGAATTGCATGACATGTACACTCACCGGTTACTTTACTAGGTGCACCTGTGAAACTGCTTGTTAACACAAATTTCTATATAGCCAATCACATGGCAGCAACTCAATGCATTAAGGCATGTAGACATGGTCAAGACGATCTGCTGCAGTTCAAACTGAGCATCAGAATGGGGAAGAAAGGGTTTTTAAGTGACTTTGAACATGGCATAGTTGTTGGTGTCAAACGAGCTGATCTAAGTATCAGAAACTGCTGATGTACTGGGATTTTCACGCACAACCATCTCTAGGGTTTACAGAGAATGGTCCCAAAAGAGAAAATATCCAGTGAGCGGCAGTCCTGTGCACAAATGCCTTGTTGATGCTAGAGATTAGAGGAGAATGGCCAGACCGTTTGAGCTGATAGAAAGGCAACAGTAGCTCAAATAACCACTTATTACAACCAAGGTATGCAGAAGAGATTCTCTGAATGCATAACACATCCAACCATAAGGCGGATGGGCTTCAGCAGCAGAAGACAACACCACTTGTCCCTCCTGTAAGCTAAGAACAGAAAACTGAGGCTACAATTCACACAGGCTCACTAAAAGTGAACAATAGAAGATTGGAAAAATATTGCCTGGTCTGATGAGTCTCGATTTCTGCTGCAACATTTGGATGGTGAAGTTAAAATTTGGCGTCAACAACATAAAAATATGGATCCATCCTGCCTGATATCAATGGTTTAGGTAAGTGGTGGTTGTGTAATGGTGTGGAGGATATTTTCTTGGCACACTTTGGGCTCATTAGTACCAATTCCATAGCCTACCTGAGTATTGTTGCTAACCATGTCCATTTCTTTATGACCACAGTGTGCCCATCTTCTAAAGGCTACTTCCAGCAAGATAACGCGCCATGTAATAAAGCGGAAATTATCTCAGACTGGTTTCTTGAACGGGCGACGCAGTGGCGCAGTAGGTAGTGCTGTCATCTCACAGCAAGAAGGTTGCTGGGTCGCTGGTTTGATCCTCGGCTCAGTTGGCGTTTCTGTGTGGAGTTTGCATGTTCTCCCTGCGTTCACGTGGGTTTCCTCCATGTGCTCCTGTTTCCACCACAGTCCAAAGACATGTGGTACAGGTGAATTATGTTGGCTAAATTGTCCATAGTGTATGAATGTGTGTGTGAATGTGTGTGTGGATGTTTCCCAGAGATGGGTTGCGGCTGCAAGGGCATCTTCCTTTTTACGCTGTGTAAAAATGTGCTAGATATGTTGGCGGTTCATTTCGCTGTAGCGACCCCGGATTAATAAAGGGACTAAGCCGACAAGAAAATAAATGAATGAATGAATGAATGAATGGTTTCTTGAGCATGCCAATGAGTTCACTTTACTCACTGTACTCCACAGACACCAGAACTCTAATAAATCTAATAAAGCACCTTTGGGATGTGGTGAAACAGGAGATTTGCATCATGGATGTGCAGCCAACAAATCTGCAGCAACTGGGTAATGCTATCATGCCAATATGGAGAAACATCTCTGAGGAATATTTGCAGTACCTCGTTAAAGGCAGTTCTGAAAAGTGGGTCCAACCTGGTACCAGTAAGGTGTACCTTATAAAGTGGCAGTGTATGTGGCACTTATAGAAGGTGTCTGGTGCATATGGAGAGGAACTTGAACAATTGAACCAATTAATAAAAAGATGCAGGTTACTTGTTTAGTATTAAAAATAGTAAGGTTTTAAAGTGAAACTGATTTTTTGGCAATTATGGCTAGTACATGGCTACTAGCACTTTAAAGCCGTACTCACACTAGGTACAGTTGCCTCGAACCGGGCCAAAGCTTGCTTGTCCCCCCTCCCGTCTCCCCAGACGGCCCGCGCTCACACCTTATCGGGCCTCGGCACGCTTACGTCATCGCTGCTGCGCTGTTCAGAGGCGCTCTCTATGGCAAGCCTTTTTAGCATTTAAATCTTTGTTCTGACTTTGTTCTGACTCCATAAATATATTTAGAGATATCTCTAATTATATTTTGACTAGTCATAATTATAATTCGACTAGTTAGAATAACAATTAGAGATATCTGCAACTGCAATTGTACTGCAATTACGAAATCAGATTGGAGATATCTGCAAATATATTATGACAAGTCATATTCCTCTATTGACTTCCATTGAAAAACATTTGCAGATATCTCTAACTGAGTTTTTACTAGTCATAATACATTTGGAGATATCTTTAATTCGTCATATTTAGAGATATTTACTAATATATTTGAAGATATCTCTAATTAATTTACTAATAGTCGAATTACAGTTTACAGATATCTTGAATTGGATTTTTGACGAGTCAAAACTCAGAGATATCTGCAAATATTTTTCAATGAAAGTCAATGGAGGAATATGACTAGTCATAATATATTTGCAAATATCTCCAATCTGATTTCGTTCTAGTACAATTGTAATTGCAGATATCTCTAATTGTCATTCTGACTAGTCGAATTATAATTATGACTAGTCAAAATATAATTATATCTCTAAATATATTTATGAATAGTCAGAACAAGGTTTAAATGCTAAAACGGCTTGCCATACGCTCTCACCCAGTAGCACAGTGGAGGTTTCTCTAGTTATATCCTTTCAGTCGTTTGTCATGCATTGACATGTAGTCAAATATTTCGCCAAACAGTCCTTAGGGATGCGGTGACACGCAGTCAGATATTTCACCGAACAGATCCGCCACTTTTGGCGCTTCTAAACAATCATAAAGCCCTCGTGCTGCAGGAATGAGGAGGTCTGCTGAAGGCGCGCAGCTGTCATGCTGTGAGGAGTTTGCGTCTTTAATAAACTACGGCAGTTTGCGATCACTGAACAGTAAGAATGATTAATAAATCCATATGAAACAGCCCCTTAAAGGTCACGTCTCGGTTTCGGGCTTTGGCGCGTTTTGCGATCACACACAAGTGTACTGCGCCAAAGCCCAAGTGATCCGCGCTCAGGCACACCTCTTCCAACCGGGCCAGGGCCGACCAAGTGAACCGTGCTTGAGCCCGATTCAGTGCACTCACACTTCTCAAACGATCCGGGAAACGGGCCTGGGCACGGTACGGATGGCATAGTGTGAGTAGGCCCTAAGAAGCAGAAAAAGAGTATATATAGGCTGTGTTTGAAAATTTAATATGGTACTAATTATAATGTTTTTGTCTGTAATTTGTTTTTATTCTCAATATGCACTTTATGAATTGCCAATCGCTACAATTTTAGATAACATCTTCAGTGTTCTGAATCCTACACAACCTGACACAGAGTAATTTAAAGCGTTTTTTTCAAATGTCTTTAACACTGGAGATATCTAGCAGCAATTGGTAGGGGAGCAGGGGTTCTTTTATGTGTTTAAAGGTGCTTAATTAATTACTAAAGACTTCCTGTAGCTCAAAGCCTTCCTGTAGATCAATTAGTAGAGTAAAGCACTATAGAATCAGGATTGTGTGTTTGATTCACAGTGAAAGCAAGAATTAATAAAATCTGTACCTTCACATCCTTGTTAGTGCAGGGTGAATGTAGATGTAAATGTAGTATTACTTTCTCTGTCAGGTGCTGAACTGGGTGTTTGACCACATGAGAGCATCGCAGAAGAAGAGGAAACTACAGGCTCTGCTGTCAACAGGAAAGGTCAAAGTGAGCTTTCTGCCCTATGACTGGTCTATAAACAGCACAGACTGATCTAAAGCACATTCTCAGGATCGCTGTGACTCATCGCGGCCACTGTGTGTTTCTATTGAACACACGCAGCGATCTCAAAACAAAAGTGCGCCCTGAAACTATGCATTCAGATCCCTTTACCTTTCATCCACCTCCCAAAAGGGCAACGTGATATTGTAGCCTGATATTTCTGACAAAGGTTAATTTCTATAACTTTTAAAATTGTATCGCAGCATTTGCACTGGTTGTTATGCAATTACATTTTAAATACTGTCCTACCAAGATGTCCTTTTGAATAAATATAGTTTATTTAAATGATCTAACAGGTAATGATGGTTGGGAAATTTAATGTCTTGTTAATTTAGATGTATGGAAAGGGAATAGCGAAGTCAAAATTAGCACAGATTGAGCTGTGGGTGCATATTGCTAAGTCAAATTATATTAAAATGACAGTGCTATACAAGTACAAACTAATGTTAACAGTATATAGTAAACAGCAATATTTACCAACATATATTTTTTGTAAAACATTATAAATTTGCATGGATTGCAGGAATGTTTTTTTAAGTGATAAAGCTCAAATATCTGTGAAACGCAAAAATATACATCTACAATGCTTTTCTACTCACAGATTTACTCTAAAATCACCCAGAAAAAATTGCTTTTTTTATTCCCTCCAAAGGTGCATTGGTTATTTTCTTTTCTTCAATGAAACTCAAATGATGTCAATTAACTTATACTTTAACATAAAGGAAAAAAAAAAACATCCTGGAAAGTGTTCAAAATGACTTGTAAGCCACATTTCAAGTCTTTAAAAAGCCATACGTTATCTTATGAGATGAAATTTATTTTTGTTGTTTTGATTTGATGTTTTTTTTTTCTTAAAGGGATTGTTTACCCCTTGAAACCTGCATAACCTTTTTTTTTTTTTTAATCTACTTAAATATTATATTTTGAGGAATGTTTGTAAACAAACAGGTACTGTAGCCATTAACTTCCATAGTATTTTTTTTTTTCTTACTATGGAAGTCAGGAATTGATTTTAGCTGTTTGATTACCAGCCTTCTTCAAAATGACTGCTTAAATGTTCAGCATAGGAAAGAAATCCATAAATGTTTAAAACAATACGTGGATGAGTAAATACTTAGGCTGTTTTCAGTTTTATTTTGGGTATATTCCTGTTTCCCAGGTCTGGGTTGCAGCTGGAGTTGTATTTGATGCGTAAAACATATGCTGTAATAGTTGGCAGTTCAACCCCTGTTGAATAAGGGACAGAAGCCGAAGGACAATGCTTTAATGAACTTTCTTTTTGAAGGTGCTCTAAGCAAATTTAGCGTAATGTCATTAATATTTGAAAGCACCAAAACAAACACCCATAACCCAACAGGACATCAATGCTGATGTGTTTTGGGCAGTAAAGACTCATTGGAAATATGTGCTTTATCCTACATATTTAAATGTGCTACATGTTGGTTTTTGACTCTTCTTAAGCATAAAAATACTGTAATATATTTAAAAACATTTAAGCAAGTGAACAAATTTATCTGATAAACAATGCTAAATTCTTGAAATGTGCTTTCCATGCTTTTGTTTTGATTTGTGTAACTCTGCCCAATTTACTCAGTTATCTTTCAGCAAGCCAGGTTGCCTTAGTGGAAAACACAATGCATTTAATTTCAGTCATGAAGGTACAAAATGTGGTCATAAATGTGACCTTCAGAGGACATTAGCAGCCTCTGAAATCGAAGGCAGATTCACAGTTATAAAAAATCACATGAGGTGTTTTAATAATATTACAAATATTATAATATTATAGGTGTTTATGTAAACATTAGCTGAACAGCTTACTCGCTCCTATTGGTTTTGTCAATCTGGCAACCTGCTTGGGTGTCAAGTCAGATGAGGAGCAAGGTGAAAAAAAACCCTCTTATTTTGAATTTGTACTGCAATGCCTTTTTCAGCCTCTAGGTGAAGTAATTAATCATACACAATGCACTTTTAAGCATATATTTGACTGAAGTTAGTTGGTAAAATGAATACCACAGAGCAATATGATACAAACAACTTTTGTTCCTTTTTACACTAATGACATATACTGAGGCATATTATCGACAAATAAAGGATTATTTTTGAGCGGCTCTTTGGAGAACACCAAATAAATACCACAGAACAACCTAACAGTGTCTGATTTGTAATCGATTAAGTTTGCCTTACCTATTTATCATATTATATATGATGTTTATTATTTATTATATATGGACAACTTTTCTGCCATGGTGAGTTAGTTCAGTAGCTCACTTCATACAGTGTTGTACTTTTAAATTAGAGTTCTCAGATTAGAGTTCATTAAAGCACGGTTCCACAAAAGAGATCTAAATCAATGTAGAATCAAGGTAAATTTATGTTGTGGTGTACTTTTTTTGTTTGCTTTTGAAAACTTGATTGATTGGGTTTAGGGAAGGGTTTAGGATTTGTACAACAAGCTCCAGCTTCTCATGGATGTGTCCAACAAGGATGTGTATCTGTAATGTACAACAACATACCCTAAATAACGTATTCGACAACGCCCTCTAGTGGATTTTTGTCATCTGAAACATGCAATAAAATGTATCCAAAGCAACGTTTTTTTAATTTCGTTGAGCTGAGGCACATATTTCCAATGGGCCTGGGCTAGTTTTCCTTCTTGGTCTGACACAGTGGTCGAAAACATTGTTCAAATATTGCTTAGTGCACCTTTAGATGATCTGTAGAAAATCTATAGGCCATGGGAGATTTTGAGACCTGGATTAGTTTGTGTGTTTTTCATTATGTTGGCTCTACTTTTGAGTCTCTGTCTGGATGATGGATGTCTTCAGCTGAGAAGCTAGAAACACATATCAGTTTTATCAGAATGACACCAGCCAGTCAATTTTGTAATGCATGATGTGTTATTTAATCAATTATTGACCAGGCATCAAGGCTGATGGAATCTCATAAAAATGGCCTGCTTCACATGATGCGCTTCAGCACCAGATTTGATCAAGGGTTAACGAGAATTCCATAATATTTTTATGGAAAATGAGATCCAGGCTGAAACTTTTTTTATTTTTAAAAACTGTCTTGCTTCAGGCAGAGATAATCTTCTTGTACCCTAGGGCTGCACAATATATATGGCTTAAGCATTGAAATCGCAATGTGTGCATCTGCAATAGTCAGGATCTGCGATGTTGAACCTGGATTACATTTGACAAGGAACCAGAGTTGAAAACATTTGATTTGTGGATTCATTGCAAAGCTTGTCAAAAGAAGGATCTTAAAATAATTTTGAAATCCATTTAAAATGCAAAGTGTATCCAAAAAAAGATAACTTGCAGAGATCATACTCATTTTATTTAATTTGTACAAGTTAAATTTGTTTCAAGTCCGCACAATCATGTTGAATCCTCCTTTTTTATTTTCAGTTTAATTATTCAGTAAGTTGACCTGAATATTATTATACTTCCAGAGAAGCATTTTATTTCAGTTTCTTTTTCAATTGTATATTAGCTCTATCGTATTTATCAATGCATATGATTAGTGTATTATATTATTACATTTAGAAGCAGTCTCCAACAAAACCATCCCAATCAATCTAATATATATATATATATATATATATATATATATATATATATATATATATATATATATATATATATATATATACATACATACATTTATTTATTTATAAATAAATGTATTTAAAAATGTACCTATAACAACACATAATAACTCGACTTCTAGTTGATCATTTGGTATCAAAAGTGGCTTATATGAAAGACAAAGGCCTCTAGATTACAATTATTTTACCAAAGAAATTATGATGATGCTTTGATTTTTTTAAAATTATTTAATTAGGACAGTAAGGTCTGAATTTGCTTAGACAAAAGTCTTGTCACTTAACAGAATTAATGCACAGTATAAAGCCATGGTTCAATGGAAAAAGAATGAGTATTTAATAAGAATGAATATTCATACATCTTCGCAATGATTCAAATATCTTACTGATAAAGTCATCTGGAATGGAAAAGAAAGCACTCTTGCAGGACACCCAAGTCAAGAACAAGATCAATATTTTTTAGATTCATCTTCAAAGCCTCCTTTTTCATCTTACTCCAGGCATGCTCATAAATGTTTATGTCTGGTGACTGGGCTGGCCAATCCTGGAGCACCTTCTTTGCATTCACAAACTTTGATTTTTCCTTCAAACTTGACTGATTTCTTTGAGAATATTGGGTCCATGCGGGATCCAATAGGTCTTTTGCAGTATTTGAGACAATTGGGATGCAGTTCAACAGATGATTCATCAGAAAAAATCTACCTTCTGCCACTTTTCCAAACTAGAAGTCAAGTTATTATTTGCCGAAAAATCTAATATCGCAATAACGTTTTTCCCAAATATCGTGCAGCCCTACTGTTCACTCTCAAAAGTAAAGGCACAAAACCTGTCAGTGGGGTGATACCTTCTCAAATACACTTTGTACCTAACAGGTCCACATTTGTCCATTAAAAGGTATATTCATTCCTAAAAAGTACAAATGTATACCTCATATTACCTTAAAGGGGAACTATTATGCAAAAAAAAAAAAAAAAAACTTTTATAAGGGGTTTAAACATAGTTATGTGGCAATAGTCTGTGAATAAAACCAGCTACTGGTACTTTTCTACTGGTACTCATTATAGTAACGATCTCTCCCTCATTAGCATAGGACATTAGTCTTTTAATCTGCCACTATGCTGACACACTGGAATTTATAGCGCCGCCCTCTTTTGTAAAGTAAATCTTATTTAAATTTAGTCCCCAAAATGGCACAATTAGAATCAAAGCCAAAACGGAGCAGTTTCAACAAAGTCATAGAACATTATTTGTGGGATATTCCTAGCTAAATCTTCACACACACACTCTAGAGACATCAGCGACATATTTTAGATCTTGTAAAAAAGGGGCATAATAGGTCCCCTTAAAGGTAGAAAAATATAATCCAAAGGTGCATTTAGAGGCCGATTTTTAAATCTGAAAAATGCTTTAAAGAAGCTTAATTTACGGCGATGCACTGAGTTTAATGGTTATGCATGTGGTGCTGTAGAATAGTTTTGTAAGGGTTGATGTTGTGGGATGGAATGCACAAGTAATGAGGTTTAGTAGTTCCTGTTTCAGCCAGTGCCTTCTCACCTTTTGCATGAGACTGATATATTCATATTGCTCTATACTTGACCGCACATCCCATTGCTTCAGGAAATCAGTTCATTTGACTCTTTCATCTGCCAGCTGAGAGATTGGTGAATCCTATCTAACAAAAAAAAAAGTCCCAGTTTCCTCATCTTTCTCTCTGCTGTAAGGAAGGGAATTAATGCAATGCAATTACGCTGATAAACAAACAAGTCAAATGCATGAAGGTATTTATATATTTGACACTAGAGCAATACTCCACTGTATTTTTATGAATGGATTAAAGACGAAATGTAAAAGAATAAAATATTCAGTGGACATTTTGTGTGCTCTTATTTTTTGGTTGAATGGAAAGTGGGTTGTCAAGTTGTTCAGATTTGGATAATGTTTATAATAAAATGCAGCTTATAATTCTAAACCTTATCATTGTTTTATGAAACATTTTTTCTCAATATTAACTATTATTTGTGAAACAATATTATGTCTGATCAGCTACAACACTGTGAATGAATTGAATGCTTTTGTTGTTATTACTGCATTTATATGCACTTTTTATTAATTATATATTATTATATATATTATTTTTAATACTGGTGAGAATACAATACTGATATATAAATAAAAAAAAAAAATATATATATATATATATATATATATATATATATATATATATATATATATATATATATTTTATATATATATTTTATATATATATTTTATATAAATATTATATATATATATATATATATATATATATATATATATATATATATATATATATATATATATATATATATATATATATATATATATATATATATTTACCTGACAAAAATCTTGTCATCTATCCAAGTTTTGGGAACAACAGATTATAAGTTGACTTCTAGTTGATCATTTGGTATCAAAAGTGGCTTATATGAAAGGCAAAGGCCTTTAGGTCTTGATACCTCAGGCTTTTGATGTTGCCATCCACTCTGCAGATCTCTCATTTTTCCTTCACAAAACTTGACTGATTTCTGTGAAAATCTTGGGCTTTTGCAGTAATATGATGATTGGGATGCAGTTCTACAGATGATTCATCAGGAAAAAAATCTACCTTTTTACACATCTCCAAATAATCAACTAAAAGTAAAGTTATCTATATATATATATATACATACATACACACACACACACACACACACACACACACACACACAGTTGAAATCATTATTATTAGCCCGCTTTTTTTTTTTTTTTTTTTTTTTACCAACTGATGTGTAAGAGGACAAAGACATTTTCACAGTATGTCTGATAATATTTTTTCTTCCGGAGAGGGTCTTATTTGTTTTATTTTGACTAGAATAAAAGCTAGCTTAATTTTTTAAATTACATTTTAAGGTCAAAATTATTAGCTCCTTTAAGCTATATTTTTTGATAGTCTACAGAACAAACCATCAATATATTACAATAATTTGCCTAATTACCCTAACCTGCCAAGTTAACCTAATTAACCTGGTTAAGCCTTTGAATGTACCTTTAGGCTGTATAGGAGTGTCTTAAAAATATCTAGTCAAATATTCTTTACTCTCATCATGGCAAAGATAAAATAAATCAGTTATTAGCAATTAGTTATTAAAACTTGTATGTTAAAAATGTGTTGAAGAAATCTTCTCTCCGTAAACAGAAATTGGGGAAAAATTTTTACAGAGGGGCTAATAATTCAGGGGGCTAATAATTCTGACTGATTTAAATAAATAACATTTATATACAATATATCTACCAAAATAACTTTTAACTTTCAGATGATTAAAGATTGCAATGGTTTCTTTAAAAAAAAAAAATAAAAAATTATATATATATATATATATATATATATATATATATATATATATATATATATATATATATGGGGATAGGTTAAAATATTTAATATTCATCCTATCAACATCAAAGGTGTTACTTTTTTCATGCTTAAATGTCTTAAATAGTTTTACAAATGAGTTCATGTGTATTTGAGGGTCTTAATACATTTTAATGAATTATTTGAAATAAATATTTCTGTATTTGTTTTTAAATTAACCTTATTTTATTTTAAGTTCTTGAATGGCAAAAGCATTTTCTGTGTTTTTTCAAGTCAAAGGCTGTGTCAATACATCTCTCCAGTATCTTGCTGCAAATTCTTCTGTCACTTGGTTGAAGCAGCTAAAAATAACAGATGCCAACATAAACCAGTTGTGACCTGAATTGTGCCAGACACATATATTATGCATTACTGACGGCTGAGAAAGTGAAAGCGCGAGACATTTAGAAACCAAAGAATATGCAAAACAATTTTTGTATGTTGTTTTGCCTATGGAGTTCACTGCCATTTTAATATATTTTATTTGTTTGCGTTATGCAGTAAATAATGTTGTGTCTAATGAACAATCTGTGTCTGTCTTTTGAA